AACCAAGCCATTAAAATTTATGATATTTAACTACGCCTTCGTAGCTGCTACCAATAATTTCATTTCATATTGCAGATTCACGTTGCGCATGAAAACTAATTCGTAGACAACTAACGGCATCTAGGATCGTTACCGTCAACATCGCACACTGATTGGGGCAGAGTGATATCGCTTATTGCTGGCGCAGAGTTCAGCAAGCAATTCGTAGCAACATTTCACTTACCTAATGTAATCAACTCACTGATTTACTCGCAGTTTTTGATTTAATTGAACGTTGAAATGAAACGAAGCATAACAAACTGAACAAACAGGAAATTGAATGAATTCACAATGCAAAACCATAAAAAATAGAAATGCAAATGGATGAATATATGCAAAATTTACATACGTTTATTCTTAAATGAAAACAAAGAAAAAGAAGATAAAATTTAGAAATCAAATATAATTAACTGGTCAAATACGAAAACAAATTAGAGATAATTGCTTCATCAATTGTTCGTTAAGACTTTAACCGAAAACAATAATAATGATGACAACAATAGTGATAAAAACAAATCACGTTAAATGAAAACAACAACGAAAACAGTAATAAAATCACTACCTGATAGTGTGCAATACATTGTGCCGTATCTGGACATTCCGATTCATACAATTCCGCAATTGTGCAGTGGTTCTTGGCTGCCATGTTAAAACGACCCATATCCGTATAAATCTCGGCTGTTTTCATCAGACAGTCGACGGCTACCTGCAACAATAAATTGCTTCTTCATTGGTTTCGCTGCACTTTGACGAACAACCTCGGAAGATCAGCGATTCCATCGATTTAAGCCACAATAGATAGTGGCTCATGCCAGTGCGATGGCTTCTCTCAGAACGGATCCGACTTACCATGGAATTGATCGAGAAAAATGCGATAGATGCCTCACCTGTGGATTCACTTTGCGATAACAATTGGCCGCTTCTGCATAGTTCGATGCCGTATCATGACGCCCATCACCACTGGCCGCATGCAGCTCCGCTGACCGTACGAATGCGTCACCAGCCTCTTTCCAAAGTTTACTGATTTTGAACAAGTTGGCAGCCTAAAACACTCACCCAAGTAACTAATCGAACGATCATTTCAATGATTCATGATCATTTCACCTATCCATCTTCATAAA